TATTCCAATCAGTTAAAGGCAGAAGACGGTCTTACAAGCTTTCTATGGTGATGCTTTTCGCTATTCCTTTCTCTCCCCCTCCAGTGTCTATTTTATAATATAATGCAAGGAAAACCAAGATTCAAAAGACAGCCAAATATCTTAATATTATTTCCCCCTTTTCCACATTCATTTCTCTTTATAGTTGAACAGTATTGCATTTATGTGCCACATCTTGTTTATCTATTTATCCATTGATGGGCACTTAGTTTGTTTTCACCTTTTTGCTATTGTGAATAGTGGTGATATGAACATAGGTATACCTATGTCAGTTCATGTCACTACTTCTTTTATACCTGGACTTCTGATACAGTGCTATAGGATCAACACTGGACAACAAACCACAAAGTCAGTAGTTCAAACCTACCAGCTACTCCTCGGAAACTCTATACAGGGTCACTATCAGTCAGAACCAACTCAACAGCACTTAACAACAGCAACAAGGTGTATACCTAGGATTGGAATTGATAGGTCATAAAGACTAAAACTTTTTTCATGTTCATATATAGGATCAAAATGTTTAATTGATCATAATGTTGTTGTAAGGTGCCATTAAGTTAGTTCTGACTCATAGCAACCCTATGCACAACAGAACAAAACACTGTCTGGTCCTGTGCCATCATCCAGTCCTGTGCCATCCTCACAGTTACTGTTACAGATCTTAATGTTGTTATTGTTGTTATGTGCCGTGGAGTCGGTTCCGACTCATAGCGACCCTGTAGAGCGTTTCTGAGGTTATAAATCTTTACGGGAGCAGAAAGCCTCATCTTTCTCCCGTGGAACAGCTGGTTGTTTCAAATGCTGACCTCGTGGTTCACAGCCCGATTCGTAAACACTATGCTATGCTAATGCAGGTGTCAAAATACCCTCGCTGGATAGATACTGTTGTAAAAATGAGATACAAGATACAGGTATATTTGTTGCTCTCAGAAAACTCACAGTAAGTAGAAATGAATTATAATTATTATACAATGGAGTTCTAATAGAAAATCATACTAGTTGTAATTTGAGCATAGAAAGAAGAGTACCTAACTGTGTTTGAGACAGGTTAGCATGTCAGCAAGTTTTTGTTGTTGTTGTTGTTGTTAGGTGCCATCAAGTCGGTACTGACTCATAGCGATCCTATGCACAAAAGAATGAAACACTGCCCAATCCTGGGCAAACCTCACAATTGTTCCACTTTGCCAATCTGTCTTGCTGGGAGTCTTCCTCTTTTTCTCTGACCCTCCACCTTACCAAACATGATATCCTTCTCCAGTGACCTGTCCCTCCTGACAATATGTCTGAAGTATGAGAGATGAAGTTTGGCCATCCTGGCCTCCAAAGAGCACTCTGGCTGCACTTCTTCCAACACAAATGTTAGTTCTTTTGTCAGCCCATGGCACTTTCAATATTCTCCAACACCATAACTCAAAGTATCAATTCTTCTAAGGTCTTCCTTATTCATAGTACAGATTTTGTATTCATATTAGGTTATTGAAAATACTATGGCTTGGGTCAGGTGCACCTTAGTGCTCAAGCTGACATCTTTGCTCTTCAACGCTTTAAAAAGGTCTTGTGCAGAAGATTTGCCTAATGCAATATGTTGTCTGATTTCTTGACTGCTGCTTCTGTGAGTGTTGATAGTTAATCCAAGAAAAATGAAATCCTTGAAAAGTTCAATCATTTCTCCGTTGATAAGAATGTTGTTTATTGGTCCAGTAGTGAGGATTTTTGTTTCCTTTACATTGAGATGCAATCCATACCAAAGGCTGTGCTCTTAAATCGTCATCAGATGATAAAAAGGATTTTGGGTCTATATCTAGGAAGAGTATTTTGTAGACCAACTGTGATCCAGCACAATTAAGTGATTTACTGGTTCATTCTTCTATTGCTTTGTTTTGCTGTGTGTATGAAATGTTGTTATCCCTTGCTGCTAGTAAGATTTTTTGGTATCCTAAAGCTATGGTCCTTTAAATTTGTTAAACCTGTTAAAATTCTAAAAGAAAATCATGCATGATAAACAATGCCAGGAATTTAATGAAAATGTTTTTATTTCACTTTTCAGAAGATTGTGTGAATGTATTTTTTCTCTTCTTTAGGGAGGTGGTTGACTCAATGGTTCAGCATTTTAAAGTAACTATATTTGGGGACCGTAGACCAGTTTATGATGGAAAAAGAAGCCTTTATACAGCCAATCCACTTCCTGTGGCAACTGCTGGGGTAAGATGAATATTCTACATTGGAAAACTATTTTTGCAATGTCTCCTTTTAAATGCATTTATTACTATTATTTTATAGTTCTTATATATGTAGTATGTAATTTATATGTTTTAAACTTTATATTTTGAGGTAACTTCAGATCTGGAAAAATCATGCAGATAATTTGATTCACCAATGTTTTTAATGTTTGCCACAATTAATGTTCTCCTTTTATTCTTCCTTAATAGTTACAGATACAGCTATAGAAAAAGTTATATATAACTTTATATTTTCTTGAACTGTATGAGAGTAGGTTACATCAGACATCATCCCCCTTTAATGCTTAATACTTCAATGTATATTTTATAAGGACAAGGATAAAAACCAGTGATCAGCTTCACTAAATTTACCATTGATGTGATACTTTTGTTTAATTCACAGTTTGTACAAAATGAGCACAAACCGTCCCTCCCACAGCACTCTACTCAGCTGGGATTAATTCATTAGAGTGGCCATACCAAACTCAGGCATTATAGTCACAGATAAGGGGTTTATTAAGGAAGTTAACAGGTTATAATTCAGGTTCAGAAATACTGAGGGCACAGTTTGTTCAGTCAGGACAACCTCTCCTTAGTCGTGCCTACAGACAGGTCTCTCTCTCTTTGTCTGCCCAGGCAATATTACAAGGCTCTTTTAGGGCTGCTGATAAATGCTGATAGAAAGACACTCCTCTCTGCTACAAGCCTCAGCCCAAAGGCACTCAACTGTAACTCTGTTGTTGTTGTTAGGTGCCATTGAGTTGGTACCAACCCATAGCAACCTTATGCACAGCAGAACGAAACACTGCCCTGTCCTGGGACAACCTCACTACTTACTGTAGCCATGCTTGAGTCCATAGATGCTGCCACTTGGCTAATCCATCTCACTGGGGGTGGTCTTCCTCTTTTATTCTGACCCTCCACCTTACCAAACATGATATCCTTTTCCAGCGACTGGTCCCTCCTGACAATATGTCCAAAATTTGAGAGACATCCTGGCCTCTAAGGAGCAGACTCTGGCTGCACTTTTCCAAAATGGATCTGTTGGTTCTTTTGGAAGGCCATGGCACTTTCAATATTCTCCTCCAACACCATAACTCAAAAGCATCAATTCTTCTTCGGTCTTCCTTATTCACTTTCCAGGTTTCACATGGATATGACATTATTGAAAATACCATGGCTTGTGTCAGGCGTACCTTAGTCCTCAAGCTGACATCTTTGCCCTTCAACACTTTAAAAAGGTCTTGTGCAGCAGATTTGCCTAATGGCAATATGTCGTTTGATTTTTTGACTGCTGCTTCCATGAGTGTTGATAGTTGATCCAAGAAGAATGGAGTCCTTGACAACTTCAATCTTTTCTCCATTGATAAGAATATCTAATGGTGAGGATTTTTGTTTTCTTTACATTGAGATGTAATCCATACCGAAGACTGTGCTCTTTGATCTTCATCAGTAAATGTTTTAAGTCCTCTTCACTTTCAGCAAGCAAGATTGTATCATCTGCATATCACAGGCTGTTAATGAGTCTTCCTCCAATCCTGATGCTACGTTTTTCTTCATATAATCCACCTTCTTGGATGATTTGCTCAGCATACAGGTTGAATAAGTATAGTGAAAGAATACCACCTTGTCGCACACCTTTCTTAATTTTAAACCATTCAGTGTTCCCATGTTGTGTTCGAACAACTACCTCTTGGTCCATGTACAGATTCCTCATGAGCACAATTAAGTGTTCTGGAATACTCATACTTTGCAATGTTGTCCATAGTTTGTCATGATCCATGCAATCAAAAGCCTTTGCATAGTCAATAAAGCATAGGTAACCATCTCTCTGGTAATCTCTGCTTTCAGCCAAGATCCATTGGACATCAGCAATGATAGCCCTCGTTCCATGGGCTCTTCTGAATCCGGCTTGAACCTCTGAAAGTTCTCTGTCAATGTATGCTTGCAGCTGTTTCTGTATTACCTTGAGTAAAACTTTACTCACATGGGATATCAAAGAGATTGTCCGATGATTTCCGCATTCTGTTGGGTCACCTCTCTTTTGGAATGGGCACAAATACGGATCTCTTCCAATCAGTCGGCCAGATAGTTGTCTTCCAAATTTTTTGGCAGAGATAAGTGAGTGCCTCCTGTGCCACCTCACTTTCTTGAAAGATTTTAATTTTTATTCCATCAATTCCTGGTGCCTTGTTCTTTGCCAGTTCCTTCTGTGCACCTTGTACTTTCTCCTTCAGTATCATTGGCTCTTGATCATATGCTACCTCTTGAAACAGTTGAACTTTCCTTTTGGTACAGTGACTCAGTGTATTCCTTCTATCTTCTCTTGATGCTTCCTGCATCATTCAGTAATTTGCCCAGTGAATCTTTCAATAATAAAAGTCGAGGCTTGAAGTTTTTCTTCAGTTCCCCCAGCTTGAGAAATACTGAGTGTGTTCTTCCTTTTTGGTTTTCTGATTCCAGATCTTTGCACATTTTGTTGTAAGATTTGGCTTTATCTTCTCAAGCAGTAGCTCAAGCTGTAGCTCTGTGAGTCACCAAATCTAGCACCCCAGTTAACTGCTTAGAGGCATCCCACTCTACAAACAAGCTTCCTGCCCAAAGGCATTCAGCTTTATGTGCTCCTTGGGCCAGAAATTCAGAATCCAGAGACTAAAGAGACAAATAGCTACATGGAACCAAGATACTGAATTGGATCTTGTAATGAAGGGGGAAAATGCTACAAAGTATAGCATTGAAACAAGAGACAAAATTGTAATACAGACTATTGCAGTGCAGTAAATTTCTTCCTATAGCTCTTCTATCCATAGTACTCAACTCCTAGCTCTTCTTAATGGCAGTGACATCACCCATTCCTGCTTCTGAGGAGGCTAATTTTATACCCACATTAGAGTTCCAGCTTTTTACAATAGCAATTAGCCCTGTTATCATTCACAACTGATATTATCTTATCAGCATCTTCTCCTACCTTTTCTTACCCAGTCCCATCAGGAAAAAAAAAAAAAAAGTTGCTTGGTGGGTTTTTAAAGTCCTGGTGTGGTGCTGTGAGTTAATGTGCTGGACTGCAAGGCCAGTTCGAGCCACAAGGTCAGCGGCTTCAAGCTTACCAGCCGCTCCTTGGAAAGAAACCCTGTACAGGTTTGTTATGAGTTGGAACAGACTCGACGGCACTTAACAACAGCATAGAGTATGGGTAGAAGAGCCATATGAAGTAATTCAGTGCACTCAGTTGTCTCTTGTTCCAGTGGTTATAGCATTCCCTCCCATGCTTTCGAGATCCAATCCAGTATGTTGATTTCATGCAGATATATGTCACTTTATTCCTTTGGTTTCTGAAATAATTTCACAACCTTTTATTTTGTCTTCAATGACATTGACATTGTTGAAGATTGCAGCCAAGTTATTTTGATGAATATCCCGTTGTTAAGTTGTTAAGTGCTGTTAAGTAATTTCCAACTCATAGTGACCTTGCATGGGGTTTTGAAGAGCAGCTGGGGGTTGGAACTGCTGACCTTGTGTTTCTCAGTCCAGTGCTGATTCTACAGTGCCACACAGGGCAGGGAGGAGCGACAAGGGGACTAGTTTCTCACCGTGTCTCCCCAGAGGCAGGCACTAGAAGCACATAGGTCAGTGACCAGGGGCATGGGGCAGAAATTTTACGACTCACATGGAAAAAGGGTTAATGGCGTTACCCTCTGGTAATGCCCCGAAGACAGTGGAAGCTAAATCCAGCCAAATGGACAGGACATGGCAAGTGCTCGCAAGCTTGCTCCAGACCTGAGAGGAGAGGCAGTTCCAAGAGAGTGGTTCAAACCCACCAGCTGCTCCTTGGAAATCCTATATAAAGTCACTGAATCTGAACCAGCTCAATGGCACTTAACAACAATAACAACATTCTATAAAGAAAGGAGCTCTGGTAGCACAGAGGGTTACGAGTTGGGCTGCTAACCGCAAGGTTAGCAGTTCGAATCTACCAATTGCTCCATGGAAGAAAAATGAGGCTTTCTGCTCCCATAAAGATTTATAGCTTCAGAAACCCTAGGCGGAGACGCTATGAATCAGAACCAACTCTATGACACGTAACCACCACCACAGTTCTATAAAGAGGAATCTTGGTGTGTGACTGTAGGAAAAGCACTTGACTGCTAACCACATGGTCAGTAGTTCAAACCTACCAGCCACTCACTACTTGGAAACCTTATACAGGATTGCTATGAGTAGGAACTGATTTGACAGCACTTAACAACAATATTCTATAAAGAAGAGTGCTTTCTTTTTCCCTATTACTTGTCTTCATTTGGCTATTCAAATTGTCTCAGATTTGGGCAATGGGAGCGTCTTCAAGCAGGCTGCTGTTGCCTTTTGATGTGACAGACATCTTTTTTTAAAAGTTTTTATTGTGGTTTATATGATAGTTTACATGGGGGAACATTAGCTTTACATTCATCCTATCATATTTCATTTTATTGCAATGATTACAATCCCCTCCATGTATCATCAAACAACCAAAGGGTATACCCTGTAAGCCTGTCCCCAAGGCCATCAGCACACAGACTGTCTCCCTCCCTGAGTTCAGAGTCCCCAGCCACTCCATCTCTCTACCTGCATATTTGGGGATGACACACATCTTTTGCTCAGTCTTTTTATTTTTGCAGTTCCTCATGTTCTGGTACAAGGTATTCTGGGATCATCTTATGTCTTCCATGCGACAGCTCTACAACAGGCCATTTCTCAAATAAGCCCTGCTTTCTTTTAGTTGGTGAATGCAATTTAGAAACCAGACTCTAGGTTCTGGGTATAATCATTTTTGTTGTTGTATTGTTAAGTGCTGTTGAGTTGGTTCCAACTCAACATCCACCCTATATAGCATTTCCAAAGAGTGACTGGTGGGTTTGAATTGTATACCTTGTGGTTAGCAGTCCAGTGCTTATCGTATAGTATCACATATCATTGATATCAAATGCAAGTAAAATTTTACTAAAGATAACTAAAAAATGGCAGCAATAGTACATTGACAGGGAATTGCTAGAGGTTCAAGGCTGATTCAAAGCAGACGTGGAACAAGGCATATCATTGCTAACATCAGATGAATCTTAGCTGAAAGCAAAGAATACCAGAAAAATGCTTGCCTGTGTTTTATTGACTATGCAAAGGTTTTCAACTGTGTAGATCATGACAAACTATGGACAACAGTGCAGAGAATGAGAATTCTGAAATGCTTAATCGTGCACATGAGAAACCTGTACATAGACCAAGAGGCAGTTGTTCGAACAGAACTGGGAAACACTGAGTGGTTTAAAATTAGCAAAAGTGAGCACCAGGGTTGTATTCTTTCACAACACTTATTCATTCTGTATGCTGAGCAAATAATCCGAGGAGATACATTTTATGAAGAAAAATATGACCTCAGGATAGTAGGAAGACTCATTAACAATCTGCGATATGCAGATGATACAACCTCACTTACTGAAAGCAAAGAGTACTTAAAATACTTACTGATGAAGATCAAAGACCACAGCCTTCAGTATGGGTTGCATCTCAATGTAAAGAAAACATAAATCCTCACCACTGGACCAATGAATTACATCCATATAGATGGAGAAAAGATTGAAGTTGTCAAAGATTTCATTTTGCTAAGATCAACCATCAAGACTCATGGAAACAACAGTCAAGAAATCAAATGACGTATTGCATTAGACAAATCTGCTGAACAAGACAACTCTAAGTGTTGAAGAGCAAAGATGTCAGTTTGAGAACTAAGGTCAGCCTGATGCAAACCAGGGTATTTTCAATAACCTCATATGCATGCAAAATTTGGACAGTGAATAAGGAAGATTGTAGAAGAATTGATACAGTTAAGCTGTGACATTGTAAACATCATTCTGGTATTCCCTGCTTTCAACCACAATCTGTCTGACTTGAAAGTGGTATCTTTCATTAATCATCCTCTTCTGAATTTGGCTTGAACTTCTGAAAGTTCTCTGTCAATGTGTGGTATAGTCATTTTTGAATTATCTGTAGAAAAATTTTGCTTTCATGGGATATTAATGATCTTGTCCAATGATTTCCGCATTCTGTTGAGTTACCTCTTTTTGGAATGGGCACGAATAATGAATCTCTTCCAGTCAGTTGGCTAGGTAGTTATCTTCCAAATTTCTCGGTGTAGATGAGTGAGTGCCTCCAGTACCACAGTGGTTTGTTGAAAGATTTCAATTTGTATTCCATCAATTCCCAGAGCCTTGTACTTTGCCAGTGCCTTCAGTGTACCTTGGATTTTGTGCTTCAGTATCATTGGCTCTTGATCAGATGCTACCTCTTGAAATGGTTGAACATCAACCATATCTTTCTGATACAGTGATTCTGTGTGTTCCTTCCATCTTCTTTTGATGCTTTCTGCATCATTCAATATTTTGCTCATGGAATCCTTCAATATTGGGCGTCAAGGCTTGAATTTTTTAATTCAGTTCTCTCAGTTTGAGAAATGCTGAGCATGTTGTTCCCTTTTAGTTTTCTAACTCCAGATGTTTGCATATTTCATTATAATGCTAGAATTTGTCTTCTCGAGCTGCCTTTTGAAATTTTTTATTCAGATCTTTTACCACCTCATTTCTTCCATTTGCTTTAGCATCTCTGTGCTGGAGAGCAAGTTTCAGAGTCTCTTATGACATCCATTTTGGCCTTTTCCTTTTTTCTTGTCCTCTCAATGACCTTTTTACTTTCTTCCTCTGTGATGTTCCTGATGTCATCCCACAACTCTTCTGGTCTTTAGTGTCTAATGCATCAAATCTGTTCTTCAGATGATATCTGAATTCAGGTGGGCTATATTCAGGGTCATATTTGGCTCTATGGACTTGATTCAGGTTTCTTTGGCTTCCACTTGAATTTGCATACGAGCAATTGATGATCTGTTCCACAGTCTTCCCTGGCCTTGTTTTGGCTGATGATATGGTTTAAAATTAAGAAAGGTGTGCTCCAGGGTTGTATTCTTTCACCATAGTTATTCAGTCTGTATGCTGAGCAAATAATCAGAGAAGCTGGATTATAAGAAGAAAAATGTGGCATCAGGATAGAAGGAAGACTCATTAACAACCTGCAATATGTAGATGATACAACCTTGTTTACTGAAAGTGAAGAGGATTTAAAATACTTGATCAAGATCAAAGACCACAACCTTTGGAATGGGTTGTATCTCAGTGTAAAGAAAAAAACTCTCACCACTGGACGAATAAATAACATCACAATGAATGGAGAAAAGATTGAAGTTGTCAAAAACGTCATTTGCTAAGATCATCCATCATCATTCATGGAAACAGCAGTCAAGAAATTAAACAACGTATTGCCTTGGGCAAATCTGCTGCACAAGACCTCTTTAAAATGTTTAAGAGCAAAGATATCAGTTTGAAGACTAAGGTGAACCTGATCCAAGCCATGGTATTTCCAATAGCCTCATATGCATGTGAAAATTGGACAGTGAATAAGGAACACCGTAGAAGAATTGATGCATTTGAGCTATAGTGTTGGAGAATATTTAAAGTACCATCGACTGCCAAAAGAATAAAGCAATCTGTGTTGGAAGAAACACAGCTAGAATGCTCCCTGGAAGCCAGGATGGCCAGACTGTCTGGAGAAGAATATCATGTTTGGTAAAATAGAGGGTCAGAGAAAAAGAGGAAGATCCCCAACAAGATGTATTGGCACAGTGGCAGCAGCTATGGACACAAATGTAGCAACAATGGCAAGATTGGCACAGGACCAAGCAGTGTTTCATTCTGTTGTGCATAGAGTTGCTATATATGAGTCAGTACCGACTCACTGGCACCTAACAACAGCAAACTTTAAAATACTGTATTTTTCTTTTTCAACATTTACCAGTTGTCTCTTTTCCTACCAACAGGTAGATTTAGATGTTACATTACCTGGGGAAGGTGGAAAAGATCGACCTTTCAAGGTGTCAATCAAATTTGTATCTCGAGTGAGCTGGCATCTACTGCACGAAGTACTGACAGGACGGACCTTGCCTGAGCCACTGGAATTAGACAAGCCAATCAGCACTAATCCTGTCCATGCTGTTGATGTGGTGCTACGACATTTGCCCTCCATGAAGTGGGTACTTTTATTTTCCTTTTCGTGTTTTAAGTGTGAATGTTTCCCTCCTAAGAGTGAGTTGTGTAGGCCTCACTTGGTTGATCTGCATATTTTAATTGCTCAAAAATAGTAAGAATACAAGTTCCTTTTTAAAAGTGAGTTAGAGAAAATTTGTTGAAATTTGAAGTTAAATTAACATTATTAGCTTAGCTATTTTAATGAATACATTTATAGAAAAATGCCTAATTTTCTCTTAAAAGCTATAAATCTTGAATAAGTGACATCATTTCAGATCTATCCCTATAAATAAATTAATCTCTTGTTTTAAAAGTAATCTTATATTTTTATAATAGCATCGGGAACCCTATTCAGGGTCGCTATGGGTCGGAACCGACTCAACGGCACTTAACAACAACAACAACATAATAGCATCAATATTAATATTAAAATTGTGCTGAACTTGAATAATACGTATATCTGTATGAGGTAAAAGTATGAATTTTAACTATACTTTTACCTCATATGTTATTGTTAAGCACCATTGAGTTAACTCCAACTCATAGTGACCCTGCATAGAGTTTCCGAGGAGCAGCTGGTGGGCTTGAATTGCTGACCTATGGCTCAGTCCTGTGCTGATCCTTTAGTGCCACATCAGGAATCCTCATATAGGTATGAGGAATTGTGTCTTTTTAAAGAAAAATTTTGTCTTGAAAACACATTTATAGAAGTATATTTTATATTAACCTTAGCATTTTCTAAGACTGGAACTCACAACTTTTTTTATCTTGCTTTATTTTAAAGTATATTAAATAAAATGTATTTGTATTCAGACATTAGTTTTAAACTTTGGTAGTTTCAATGAAGGATGCTGATGGATCTTTTTTATTTAGAATGATATGTTTTGCTTTCACAAATTTGGAAAATGTTTAGTTTCATGTATTTCACTATAAGCATCATCATGACAAATTATTTTTTTTATGTGTTATAGTCTCTCCTTTTTGCAGATTATTTAAATATTTATATAGGAAGGAAAAAATTAAACTTGCCATTTTGATTTTTATAGATACACACCTGTGGGCCGTTCCTTTTTCTCAGCTCCAGAAGGATATGACCACCCTCTGGGAGGGGGCAGGGAAGTATGGTTTGGATTCCATCAATCTGTTCGACCTGCCATGTGGAAAATGATGCTTAATATTGATGGTAAGGAAACTAAAGCTGTATTTTATATTGGTTAGTTAATTATTGTGGCCTGAATATATGTGTGGGTATAGGTATGTATATAGAGATAGGTTATATATATATAACTTTATTAATTGGTGTATTTGAACCATATTTGAATCTTAAGACAAACTGGAAAAATCTTTACATATTTATTATATTTTAACATGAAGTAAACACATGAAAATAGATAGGGAAGTCCTGAAATAATCATCTAAGCAGTCTTCTATTATAACTCACCTTTGGTCTTTTAACTCTAAGTCAGCATTTCATTATGAAATACATTATTTTATAAGAAAAGTCCATTGGTCACAGTGACCCCAAAATAATATTCCTGCTGCTAGTACTAAATGTGGTGCTGATTGCATTCTCCTTCTTAGATATCTTCTTACTAACATTTCCCAGCATATATAAAAGTAAAGAGAATATGATGAACTGCCACATACAAAGCATTTGGGTTTTAAAAACCTCCTAGATTTGCTTAATCTGTCCAAGTTTCTTCCTTACCACAGTATTTTAAAATCAAATCTCAGACAGCTGATATTTTGTCTGTACATCTCAGTATGCATCTCTCAAAATATGGATGTTTTCTTACATAGCCACAGTGTCATCACATATAAGAATGTTTAAAATAATTATTTACTTACAGCTTTTAACACCCTGTCCATAGTCAGATTTCTCTGATTGTCTCAAATAAATTTGTTTTGTTTTTTGTTTTACAGTTAGTTGATTCTAGTCAGGATCCAAATATCACATTTAGTTGTAATGCCTTTTGTAGTCTAGCAGTCTCATCTCTCTCCCTCTTCTTTTTTCTCTGCTCTTATTCATTTGGTTTATTGCACAAACATGGTTACTTGTCCTGTAGAATATCCTCACATCTAATTTTTCTTTTTGTTTCCTCTGGTATCATTACCTCGTTCCTCTATCTCATGTATTTTCTGAGAACGAAAATTTGTCATAGAATCTTGCTTTAATAATAGTTTGAAAATACATCAAAAGTGCTTCATACTGTATCGTATTAGGTGGCACATAGTATATAATTGTTCTCATTTTAGTGAGAAGGTTCAGGGATAACAACCTGAATGCTGTGGAAATTTTTCAATTACTCCTGTTTTATCTATTGATGGTTGTTACTTGAATCATTTATGTCACTAGTGTTTACCAGCTGGTCATCTTTTTAATCCTGTTACTGCTTTTGTATTAGATGGAATTTATATATAGTGAAGAATTCACGCCCCTCAACTAGGGCTGTTTGTTAAGGAAAAGCAGAACAATTGGTTAATGATTTTCACTTAATTGCCAGTTTTCAGATTAAAAATGTGGTACCCTGCTTACTTCCCAGTGAATTGCATAGGTGTTCCCTTGATTCCTTCAAACAAGGCCTCTTGGTCTATGTACAGGTTCCTCATGAACACAATTAAGTGTTCTGGAATACTCATACTTCACTATGTTGTCCATAGCTTGTCATGGTCCACACAATTGAAAGCCTTTGCATAGTCAGTAAAGCACAGATAAACATCTTTCTAGTATCTCTTTTTTCAGCCAAGATCTATCTGATGTCAGCAGTGATATCCCTCATTCCACTTCCTCTTCTGAATCTGGCTTGAACCTCTGGAAGTTCTCTGTCAATGTACAGTTGCAGCCGTTTTTGTATTACCTGTAGTAAAACTTTACTAGCTTGGGATATCAGTGATAATATCCAATGATTTCCACATTCTTTTGGGTCACCTCTTTTTGGAATGGGCACAAATATGGATCTCTTCCAGTCACTAGGCCAGGTAGTTGTACTCCAAATCTCTTGGCATGAATTATTGAGTGTCTCCAGTGCTGCATCAATTTGTTGAATGATTTCAATTTGTATTCCATCTATTCCTGGTGCCTTGTTCTTTATCAGTGACTTGAATGCATCTTGGACTTCTTCCTTCAGGATGATTGGCTGTTGATCACATGCTACCTCTTGAAATGGTTGAATATTGACCATTTCTTTTTGATACAGTGACTCTGTGTATTTCTTCCATCTTCTTTTGATGCTTTCTGCACCATTCATTATTTTGCTCATAGAATCCTTCAAATATAAATATCAAGTTGAGGTTTGTATTTTTTCTTCAGTTCCCTCAGCTTGAGAAATTCTTAGCATGTTCTTCCCTTTTGGTTTCTAACTCCAGGTCTTTGTGCATTTTATTATCATATTTAACTTAGTCTTCTTGAGTTGCCCTTTGAAATTTTCTGTTCAACTCTCTCTTCTGCCATTTGCTTTAAAATCTCTACACTGGAGAGCAAGTTTCAGAGTCTCTTCCAACAGCCGTTTTGGTCTTTTCCTTTTTTCGTGTCTCAGTGACTTTTTACTTTTTTCCTATATGATGTTCTTGATGTCATCCAACACCTATTCTGGTCTTCATATTTTGATGTCTAATGCATCAAATTTGTTCTTCAGATAATCTCTCAATTAAGGTGAGATATATTCAAGGTGATATTTTGGCTCTTGTGGACTTGTTTTAACTTTCTTCAGCTTCAGCTTGAATTCGCATATGAGCAATTGATGATTTGTTCCATAGTCTGCCTCTGGCCTTGTTTTGGCTGTGGATGTGGAGCTTTTCTACCATCTCTTTCCATTGTTGTTAAGTGCTGTGGAGTCGATTCCAACTCATAGTGACCCTGCACAGGGTTTCCAAGGCTGTAAATCTTTACTGCATCTTTCTGTTGCGGAACTTCTGGTAGTTTCAAACTGCTGACCTTGAGGTTGGCAGCCTGACTCATAACCACTACACTACCACATCTCTTTCCATAGATGTAGTCAATTTGATTTCTATTTTATTTGTTGAGGTCCATGTGTATCGTAGTCTTTTGTGTTGTTTAAAAAAGGTATTTGCAATGAAGAAGTCGTTGGTCTTGCAAAATTCTATCATGCAATCTCCAGCATTATTTGTATCACCAAGGCCATATTTTCCAATGACTGATTCTTCCTCTTTGTCTCCAACCTTTGCATTCCAATAACCAGAATTATCAATACATCTTGATTGCATATTTGGTCAATTTAGACTGCAGAAGTTGGCAGAATTTTTCAATTTTATCATCACTGGCTTTAGTGGTTGGTGTGTACATTTGAATAATAGTGATAATAACTGTTCTTCCCTGTAGGCATATGGATATTATCCTATCACAGACAGTGTTGTACTTCGTGCTGATCTTGATATATTCTTCTTGACAATGAACGTGATACCATTCCTCTTCAATTTGTCATTCCCAGCCATGTGACTGTCAGATTCACAATGGCCAATACCATTTCATTTCAGCTCACTAATGCCTAGGATATTGATGTTTATGTGTTATGTTTCTTTTTTGACAATTTCTGATTTTCCTAGATTCATACTTTCTTTTTAGAATTTTGTAAAATCATTAACAAATGGAACATAAGGTAAAATCCAAAAAAGATGTTCAATCACTTATGAAAATTTATAAGGAATCTACTTGAGTCTGGCTCCAGGATTTACTGAAGATTGTGGCTGTGTCAACAGATATAGGTGATTTAAAGTAAGCATGTGCTAGATCCTAAGCAGAGCAGACAGAGTCACATTAACATACTTTAAAATTGGTTTTCCTTTCTTTCCAGCTGTATCTATAGCTAGGGGAAGATGAACTGGCAGTCCTTTGTTTCATAGCATTATATCCACCCAAGGAAATGAGGCAGATTAGATTTTCAAAATGCTAAATATTAATAAATTCTTCCAACCAGTTAGATGGTAGTGAAGTTGGGGAAAATAGAATAGGAGACGTTGTGGGTTTTATTTAAAGCCTTTTTAAAAGATTGTTATTTACATGCAGATTTTTATATGTTTCATTCAGTTGTATTTGTTATTTTATGCATAATTGTCCTGTATTTAACCAGTGGGAGCCACCTCTTGTTAGATATTATGTCTTACTAATACTTCATTAGTCCCAGATAGATTTCCTGATTTTTTATTTCCTATCTTGTCCCTGGAATCAACCACTCCTCTAAGGATCTCTAGATCTTTCCAAATCAGTAAAGTTTCCTCATTTTTCTTTACCTGCATCTACCATTATGGGATATGTCACTGAAGAAATATAATTAACCAGCTCACTTTAGGTGAGTACTACAGTGATTTTTAATCAGTTGCCATTTCAGAACACAGTTTCATACATATGCAGATAAATCTTTAAGATGAACTTCTGAAAATGATATGTTAAGGGCAAATGTATTTGTCAATGTAATTGCTCTTGCCAGATTGCCCTTCATAAGAGCTCCAACTATTTTATAGCGATGAGTGAGAGTAGCCATTTCCTTACAGTGGTTCCAACCTGCTAGCTGCTCCTCGGAAACCCTATACAGGATTACTATGACTTGGAACAGACTTGACAACATTTATCAGCACTTTTTTTCTTGGAGTCCCTGAGTGGTGCAGATACTTCAGTGCTTGCCTACTAGCTGAAGAGTTGGCAGTTTGAGCCCACCCAGAGGCACCTCAGAAGACAAGCCTGGTGATCTACTTCTAAAAGGTCATTTCCTGGAAAACCAAGTAGAAAAAAAGAAATTTCATGAACATTTCTACTCTGCACAAGGAGCTCTGGTAGCATAGTGGGTTACAACTTGGGTTGCTAGCCTCAAATCTACCTGCTGCTCCAAGGGAGAAAGAAGAGGCTCCCGTAAAAATTTACAACCTTGGAAACCCAATACAGAGTCCCTACGAGTCAGAACCGACTCTCTAGCATATAACCACAACTACTACCACCAGCACCACTCTGGAATCAAATGAATGGCAACTAACAACAGCAGTTTTTTTTTCTTTTCAGGTTAGAGTGATTAATCAGACAGGGTAGTGTACATAGTAATGATTAATGGGCATCCTCTTTTATCCCTTACTTTTGAAGGAATCTTTCAGTACTTTTATATTAGATATGATATGCATGTATAAGTATGTATATATTATCGTGTCAAAAAGCACTTGTTGATTTCTATTTTTATC